TGGGGGGGAGACCGTGTCCCCCGCTGCCCCCGGCCTGCGGTCTGTGGTGTTCAGCCCTGGGCTTTGAGGGGCAAAGGTGCCTTGGGAGGAAGGTAATTAAGTGCAGCGTGGTAGGTGTTAAATAGAGTTCGTGTGCTAATTTGGCAATTAAAAGGGAAACAAGCTGTTTAAATAATTATTTTGGCGTTTTTGTCGCCTTCTGCTTTGCTTACAGAAAGCATCCTCCTGTTGTACTTGAGCAGGCCTAGGACAGCACAGTTCACCATCGGTGTGTGGCTTGGAAAGTGGTTGAGTATGGGTGATGGACACGGCTCGTGTCGCTTTCCTGCCTGGGGTTGTATCGCAGTTTCCCTGCTGTAGGGGTGAAAGTTACACGAGGGCTGGGTCTCGTGAGCTGAGGGGCCAGCAGCGTGGCTGGACCCGCCATGGGCCCTGGTCCCGGGGCTATCAGGTAGCAGCGTGCCCACATCTCCCAGCTGAACACGGCCTGTTCGTGCCTGTGGAATGTTAAGCTCCGTTAGCTGTCTGTTACAATTCAGCATAAAGTATTGAAGTTAATGTACATGGTGATCTGGCAGACAGGGGAAATTAATTACATTGGGTCTTTCACACTAGAGGCAGTGCTATAAAGAAAATAACAATAAAAAGCTAAATGACAGTATGAATGGTCCAAATGGATTTTATCTTGCTCAAGTAGAGTTACCAGGCACCACCCTCTTCAAATGTGGATACTGTTCTGTAGGTCTGTAGGCTTCAACCTGTGTTAAAATACTCTTCAGTCAGCTATTGGAGATGCTAAGTGATGTGTGTGTGTTCCTTAAATTAAAAGACTGATTTCTGTAAGTAACCTAAGGTCATGTGTGATGATTGTGAATTTTGGCCAGGCAGGCGTGGTGCTCATAGCTGGAACACCAAGTGTACTGTTTGGCAGAGGAACTGGCAAGAAACAAACTAGTCAAAAGTTCTTTAGTTTCCTAAGAACGAATAAAATAAACTGGTATGGAAATAGCAAACCATTAGGGTATGCACAGCACTGATGCAGAGATTACTGAATTAGCTCTAAACATGCTGGGTTTAGTGCCAGCAGCAGTCTGGTTTGTGTTGGCCCTTCCTTTGCGTGAAGGAGAAGCGGGCTCTATCGAGCTCATAATGAGTTGAGAACTAGTTTGGCTCTTAGTGCTCTATATTTTTGTGCACAGGTGCATAATCTGAGCAGGGAAATAATGTTAAATGGATTAATTCAATCAACCTGTTGTCAGTGATTGTTGTTAATTGGTGTCACTTGTTGAAACCCACTAAATTGAGGTGAATCATGAAAACATCAGCTAGTCCTTAAATATTTTGTTTAGCTGATTTCAGATTGCTTTCTTCCTGTACTAGTGCAGTAAAACTTACTGCTCAGCTTATTATTTTTGTTTAGCAAATACAACACCCCACGGCCTCCTTGATAGCAAAAGTAGCAACAGCACAAGATGACATCACTGGAGATGGTACCACTTCGAATGTCTTGATCATTGGAGAACTCCTAAAGCAGGCAGATCTCTATATTTCTGAGGTATGTATGTGGTATTTCTTTTGTAGGTGGACAAGTTAAGCTTCATCTGAGACCGTTCAGCTTGCTTTGTGTTTAAGGCTTGATGCTCACAAGTCAAACATGAAAATGAATATATATTTCTGCCTAAAATGAACGCATCGCAGAACTTGGAAAATGGGGAAAAGCTGGAGAGGAGGACTTAAGACTTGTTCATAATTGCTTATTGTGGGTACTGTAGTTTTCAATAAGCTTTTTTCTGATACCTGCTGTTACTTTTGTCTGTGTGAGTTAAACCACTGCTTTTACTTGCATGTCAGCAGGCAGAGCCTCCCTGATATTGGGTATTTTGGATATTACGTTACAGAATAGGCATTCGTATTGCACAGTGAACACCCAAGTGTGCTTTGTAGTTCCCTTGGTTTTAATTCTGTGCTAGAACAACCTGTACTTTTCCTCTGCATTGGAAGGATTTCCATTCCTTTTATATGTATTCAGAAGGACAGTACATTTTCTTGTCTTTGTAGGATGCATATTCCCTATGTTTTGAGATTGCATGGAGTGTTGGAAACCACAGGTTCCATCTGTGAAAAAGTAACATGTCTTTCTTGTGTTGTCCCTTCTTCCTTTCCATTAGGGTTTGCACCCTAGAATAGTAGCAGAAGGGTTTGAGATTGCGAAGGAAAAAGCACTCGAGGTTTTGGAGCAAGTCAAAGTAACCAAGGAAATGGACAGGGAGACCCTTATAGATGTGGCCAGAACATCCCTCCGTACTAAAGTTCATACTGAGCTTGCTGACATCCTAACAGAGGTAAGTGTTATGTGTCTTTTCCACCTCTTTTCTGTGCGAAGAGGTCCAAGTTTTAAACTGTGCTGATTATTACTTGAGTGAAGGGCGGGTGAAAAGATGTGAACTCGCACTTTGGAAGACTAATAGTCCTTTTGGGACTTTTTTTCCCCCCTTCCCTCTGTTTCAGGCTGTAGTAGATTCTGTTCTGACAGTCAGAAAACCAGATGAGCCTATTGACCTCCACATGGTAGAGATTATGGAGATGAAGCACAAATCGGAAACTGACACAACGTAAGTAATGAGTATCCTTGAGCTTCAGTTTAGTGGTATCCTGACATTTGAGAAGTCTGTGGGGTTTTTCTTTTCTTTTTAGAAAAACTTGGGTGTCTTAAAGCTACCACTGGAAAAGTTATTAGGGAAGGGGTGAAAGAAAGGCAAAAATACTGATTTCGGCCATAAATTATGTAGACAGCAGAAGTTCCCCAGTCACTGAGCTTGATTCCCTGACCAGAGATTTTTGAATAGCAAAGAGTAACACTGGCTTAGGCTTTTACATAACAATGTTGAATAAATACTTTTTTTCTTAGTAATAGTGTTTGTGGTTCGATTCTGCTTTAGGCTTGTATCTATTCATTACAAGTAGAAAATAGCATTTGATAAATGGAAACTGGATTGTAGTCATCTGGTTGGGTATTCCGTAGGCTTGTATATTTACCGCAGTGGCATGGACGAATTCTGCACTAGCTTTCCTCAGTGGCTAATGCAGTCAGACACTATGCCAGAATAAATTCCTTTTTCACACTCTGATCGGTATGCGTTTTATATGAGAATGGGCATGCCCTTGGAAGTGGGATACATGATCGTTGTTTGCTCCCAGCACAAGTGCACAGGCAGTTCGCGTTTGCCCAGTTGCATTGTCAATTGTCTGACTAGTCTGTGCTTCCGTGAAATGTGTATCTTCTCTATGTGTATGTTGACACACACAATGCTTTTTAATCTTCCAGCCTGATTAGGGGGCTGGTTTTGGATCATGGTGCTCGTCATCCTGACATGAAGAAAAGAGTGGAAGATGCCTATGTTCTTACTTGCAATGTATCTCTAGAATATGAGAAAACGTAAGTACACGGCAACAAGGTGAAGAGCAGAAAATGCTCCCGTCTTAAAAGACTTTTGTTTAAGGTGTGGTTAAATAAGAACTGAACAGACTGCGTAGAGTCTTCTAGAGCGAGGCAGGTGGTGGAGAAGGTGGAATGGAAGAGGTGATGCTCCTTCTGCTGGCCTTTTTTGGAAGGGGGAAGCTGGTGGCTGAGAAAATGTTTTTGAGAGTCAGAGCTTCATATTGTCAGAATAATAAGTCAGAGCTTTATGTTGTTGTTTCATTGAAGAAAGGCTGGAAGTCCTCCCTTCCTTTGGCATAATTTTACATTCTAAAGCAAACATCTAAATATCCTCCAGAGTTTGCTCAGTTTCAAATGTGTGCTTTATTCCTTGCAATGGGAAGCTCTGAACTAGAGCTGTATGTTGCCTGCTGGTGTGGGGGGGTGTGTGTCTTGTTTGTTTCATTTCAAAAGGAATGATTCCTTATGCTTAGGTTTATTTCTGCAGCAGAGAGGATAGTTTTCTTACTGCTATTTTTTTTCTCCTTCAGAGAGGTGAGCTCTGGATTCTTCTATAAAAGTGCGGAAGAGAGAGAGAAGCTAGTGAAAGCCGAAAGAAAGTTCATTGAAAATAGAGTGAAGAAAATCATAGACTTGAAAAGACGAGTCTGTGGTGATTCAGATAAGGGATTTATTGTGATCAACCAGAAGGTGAGATGAAGGATACAACTAACTAGAAAAATTAATCTGAAACATTGGTTTTCTTGGCAAGCAGTGTGCTGTTTGACTCATTTTGTACAGTTCTTCAAAGACAGCTAAATTTAGGCTGATGTACTTTCGAATATATGCATACAGTTCCTACTTGAGGTTTTCTTTGAACCCTGAGGAAGAAGTTATTCATCAGTGTCAGACTGAGAGGGGGGTTTGTTAGCTTTTTCTGTATCCTGATGGTCACTTTCTTTGTTTCTAGGGAATTGACCCGTTTTCCTTTGATGCACTTGCGAAAGAAGGAATAGTTGCTTTGCGGAGAGCCAAAAGGAGGAATATGGAAAGGTCAGTTCCAGGGGAGAGAAATTCCAAGTCTGGCTTGAACCCACCTTCAAGGACTTGCGCTAAGTCCACTTCAGTCTCTCCAGCTCTTAACTGATGTAACACGGGGTAGTCTCTACAAACCATGGAAGAGTTGGTTCAGCACACTGAGTGACATAGGAATGTGAGCTATCGGTATGCTTTAGATGTGGCCACCTATAGAGGAGGCTTAATTCTACAAGCTTGATTTTGTGAAGAGCTCTTTCATGAACAGTGGCAAACTGTTCCAAGCCTAGGAAGTTTGGTGTTCTGCATGCTGAAATACTACTGTTCTGTTAGTGACTTCAGATTTTAGTTACGCAAGTGCTAAGCTGTACGTGTTCCCTCGCAGACTGACCCTTGCATGTGGTGGTACTGCCATGAACTCTGTGGAGGATCTCACTCCTGACTGTCTGGGACACGCGGGGCTTGTCTATGAGTATACACTGGTAAGTACAACTAAGCTTTCAGCTGAAGCCAGGTTAAATACTCCTCGCTTGGTGCCAGCTTCTCTTTCATCTTGCTGTGTCTGTGTGTGGATTTTTAAGTGTTTTAAGAGCTACACTAGAGCATGAATAAAGGTTGGTAGCGTTTCACATCCCAGCATGCACTTGCTGCCTGGATATTTGCTGTTAACGTGTTTTCCTGTTGTTATTTCCATATTACGCTTTTAATATCTGTAAAATGGAGAATGGTAGTAAGGTTCTGCTGCTTCTCGTCACTCTGGAAGTGCTGTTAGTGCAGGCCTGAATCTGAAAGTGTCCATTTTTTTTATTATGTATACACGTTGATGAAGCAATGTATAACATGAATACATAACACTGTTTTACAGGGTGAAGAGAAATACACCTTTATTGAGAAATGTGACAACCCCCGCTCTGTTACCCTGTTGATCAGGGGGCCAAATAAGCATACGCTCACACAAATCAAGGATGCAGTAAGAGATGGTCTGCGGGCTGTTAAAAACGCTATTGAGGATGGTAAGTCTCTGCCCTGTTTAGCGATGTGAAGGATCTTCTGTTGCAATTCACCTCAAAATTAGTGAATTTTGTAATGGCTTCCTTGGTATCTGATGCCGTCAGACACCAAGCTAAGTGTATTTCAATGTGAAGTGCTTTTAGTTACTGTTCTTACACCTCGTATTTTACAAGTAGTTGATAACTCTGTAAGTACCTGCCTGATCAGATAAAAGTCGTCTTTTTAAAGATGAAGGAAGAGATCAAACTACACTAAAAATTAACTGTTCAAATTGGAATAGGTGGTTACTGTGAAGTCTCAATACCACGTTTTCCCTTGCAGGATGCGTGGTTCCAGGAGCAGGGGCGCTGGAAGTGGCGGTAGCTAATGCTCTTGTTAAGCATAAACCTAATGTGAAAGGAAGAGCCCAGCTTGGAGTTCAAGCTTTTGCTGATGCTCTGCTCATCATTCCTAAGGTACAAGGAACTCATGAAAACAGTGGGTTAAAAGCATGCTCGGATCCCATTGCTGTTTCTGTTGGAGGTCTCTATTAATTAACAACATGAAATAATGTCTTCGTTCTCAAAGGTTCTCGCTCAGAACTCTGGTTACGATCCCCAGGAAACATTAGTGAAGGTTCAGACAGAGCACGCAGAATCGGGGCAACTCACTGGCGTTGATCTGAACACTGGTAAGAACTTTCTAAACTATTGGGATGATGCTCTAGTAAGAAACTGTTTTGTGTCTCAGCTCCCTGAAGAACAAAGTTGCTCTGAATGCAGAAAGCTACCCCTTTTTTTCATAAAACCCTGTGCAGGGGCCCTAGTAGGTGTCCTGCTGCTGCAGCCAGTGCTGGCATGCTGAGGTACTTCAGTGTATTCTGTGTGTTTCGTGGAGCTAAAGCACGGAGCAACGCCGTGTTAGACATAGCAAGCAGTATCAGGTGTTAGCAAGTCTGACTTTGAATTATGTGAACTGGTGATTTAAAGACTGTTGTACTTCTTTTGCAGGTGAGCCAATGGTAGCTGCAGCAGCTGGAATCTGGGATAATTATAATGTCAAAAAGCAGCTGCTTCATTCATGGTAAATGTTACAGTATTTTCACTCTAAGTAGCAATGGGTGTTTGATCGTTCAGATTGATGCAGTGGTACAGAATTGAGGGATCCCGTATAGGGGAAGCTGCCTTGAAAGGCAGAAATGAAGCTGAGCTGTCTTTGAACTATAATAACAATATTTATTTTATCTTTCTAGCACGGTGATCGCTAGCAACATTCTCTTGGTGGATGAAATTATGCGAGCTGGAATGTCCTCTCTCAAAGGCTGAGCTGGATCTGCTGCTGGTGGTGGTGGTCTTTGAGATCCACCTGCAGGCGCTCCGTTCCTAGCTGGGGTGGATTGTCCCGGTGAGAGAAGTTACTCTGCCGTCACGAGCAGAACTGAAGTTGCGTTCCTTTTTACCCAATAAACTGTTGCGTCCTGTGCTTCGTGTGTGCCGGTTAATTAAGGCTTTATCTTCCTCAGGCCGAGGTCTTGAGCATTCTGCTGGCAGCCTGTGTGAGTGGGGGGGTGGCGGGGGCTGCAGGCTGGGGTCCGGCACCCAGCTCTGCCTCCTGGGCTCTGCTGCCCAGGGCAGTGCCTTCCTGTTCCTGGGGGCTGCGGAAAGGCGGCTCAGTGCTCCCCTTCTTGCTTGGTCCATTGTAAAGCTGGGCTGAGCCCATCACCTCATCATCTTGTACAGATAAATGGAGTTAACGCACTCCGTAAGGGCCTGAAGCGTGCCTGCAAAGGCTTGTTGCGATGGTTGTGGTGACACAGCGGTGAGTTTTAACACTTTGTGCTGCAGTTGGGTATTTACAGCGAGCTCTGTGGGTCGAGCCTGCCCGGGGAGGCGGCTGTGCTTGCGGGAAGGGAGCAGGCTTGCAGCGATTTTTCCCTTATCCC